AGAGAAGTCGAGGGAGTGTAACTCGTAGTCACGCTGAGCTGCTACGTTTAGCAGCACTCGAAGAGTAGTCATCTTCGGGGTCGGAGCAAAGGTCTGGAAGAAGTCCACCCTCTCTAGCCACGTAGCGCGCCTTGAACACAGGTGGCTCTCCAGGAGGGCGCTTCACCTTGAAGAGCCAGCGGCCATCGATTACGTTCACCCCAGGTGGGGGAACTGCGTCGACGTAGGTGCCGGTGGATCTCCAAAATGCCATCTCCTGCTCCATGTCAGCTATCCACGGAGAGGCCCAGGGTCCCGAAACCGCCTCAGCGTAAGTGCGAGGGGTCGGGATGTCGAAAGCGTCGGGGTCACCCTCAGGGACTAGAAGCATGGAACAGAGATGGGGAGCAGCCTTGGACTGGAAAGCAAGCTCGTACTGACGGTCCTCCAGGACATCACTGCCGAGGGCAGGAGCACCCCCGACAGACGGAGGACAGGCAGGGTCAGAGACCAGAGCGGTGGCGTAGTCAAGGCGGCGGGTAGAGGCGAAGTCAGCGACCGCAGCGACAAGAACGTCAAGACACGAAACCGAAACAGACGGGTCGGTAACGAGAGAGGCAAGGACCCGAGGAACAAAAGGACGAGCGGCACGCAGGAAGTCAGACAGAGGGGGGGGCGCAACAATAAAAGAAGACGGAGGAGGCGACGGGAGAAGGGGAGGACGTGATGCGTGGGAACGAAGCAACATAGGGTGAGAGCGCGAGACATGAGAGACAGGTCGAGCATGGGAGGGACGGTGAGACCAGACGTGAGACGGAGGCGTTGGGTCAGGAGACAGGGGAGGGGACACAAGAGAGGAAGGAGGGGGGAAATGAGCCGGTGACGAGTCCGGAGGAGGGAACACATGGCCGTAGATAGGAGGAGGAGGAGGCACAGATGCGGGGTCAGGGGATGGAAGGCCGAGCAAGCGAAGAGCTGACACCGGTGGGGACTGCTGCTGTGGCGGTGCGGCACCGACACCGGGACCGCAAGCTGCCGGACGGCTACCTCCACAACACTCCACTCCAGCACCCCCAGAAGGAACACCCCCAGGGCTCAGTACCCCTCGACCACCGGTACCACCCCAAGGCCCGCCGGGACAAGCCATAACAGGAGTCTCAGGACTAGTACCCACCCCGACTCCAGCACCCCCAGAGTCAACGAATTGCTGCGGCGACGGCTGCGGCGGCGGCGGCTGCAACGGCGGCTGCGGCGGCGGCGGTGGCAGTGACGACGGCTATGACTGCGGTGGCGACGGCAGCTGCGGAGGCGGCGGAGGAGGAGACACCTGAGGAGGGACAGGCGGTGAGGACTGCACCGCAGGACCACCAGAGTCAGCAGATTCCTCAACCGGGACAACCGACGTAAGGGGGGTGACGTGGGACACACCAGAGGGGGTAGGACGGGGAGGGGGAGGGGGAGGGGCAGGGACTACCGGGGAAGGGGTGACCAGGAACAGGGGGGGGTAACCGGGGGACCTCGGTGGGGGAAGCGGCGGTAGAAGGAGACGGACTCGTCAAAGGTGACGTCGCGGGAGTGAAAGAACCGGTGAGACGGCGGGTGGTAGAAGTGCCAGTCAGACACGTCAAGGGGGAAACCGAGGAAGACACAGGGAAGGGTGCGGGCAGTGAGCTTGTCCGTGCCAGAGGCACGAACGTGAGCAAGGCAGCCCCAGACGTGAAACGCAGATGCGTCACCAGGTGACCCAGACCAAAGAAGGGTCGGCGAAACGTGCGGCTGCTGGGGGTGCGGCCACAGGTTAAGCTGGTGAGCGGCGTAGCGAACAGCGAACGGCCACAGAAAATGGGGGGCACCGGCATGGATCATGGAGGTGCGAGCCACCTCCATGACCAAACCGATGCGTCGCTCAGTGACCCCATTCTGCTGCGGGGAGTCCGGCAAGGTGAACGTCTGGGTGATGCCCTCCACACGACAGAAACGACCAAGGACACCAGAGGCAAACTTGCCACCACGGTCGGAGTGGAGACGCAACACAGGGAGACCGCGGTGGACACGCGCAGAGACAAGACATGGGATGAGAATGTCAGGCACGTCGGCTTTCCGCTCCAGGGGGAACACAGTGGTGTAGCGCGTGTAGTCGTGGACAAGCACTAGGAAGTAGCGCTCTCGACGCAGCCCATGGATGGGGGCAGGGCCCCAGACGTCCATGTGCAGAGTCTATAGCGGTGCGGCAGTAGGGGGAAACGAGGAGGAGCGAGGAGCACGGCGGAGCCTGCCCTCGACACAGGGCGTGCAAGGTGGGGCTGGGGACGAGGGAAACTCGGGGAACGAACCGGGGAAGCCTAGGACGAGACCGTGCTGGGACATGTGACGCAGACGCGAGATCGCAGGGTGACCTAGGTGGTGGTGCCAAAAGATGGTCGGGTGAGTGAGTGACCGACAGGAGCAGGCAGCAACAACCTGAGTAGACGCAGCCACCTGAGGGGGTGTCCCAGCCGGGGAAGTCACAGTGTCTAGAGTGAAAAGGCCGGACACCGGGTCCCGAGGGAACGTGGTAAGGGGGGCACCAGTGGCGGCCTCGATACAGACAGCGTACCGCTCATGACCAGGGAACGTAGTGGTGACGCCAAGGTCCTGGAGGCAGCCGACACCAACTAGGTTCCTGGAGAACGAGGGGATGTGCAGACCTGTGAGAGAGCCCGAAGGAACCGCCGGATAGGGAAGGGTGGTGGAACTGCGGGTGACTACAGGGCCGGAGGAGGGGTCAGCGTGGTGGAGTCGCGGAAGAAACACCGGGAAGCGCCAGAGTCCAAGGTGAAGGAAAGCGCGGCAGTGGCAGCCGGAGTCGAAGCAGCGACGGAAGCACCAAGGCTAAACAAAGCAGGGGATCCTACGTCTGACACAGCAGGGAAGTCTAAGCTAGGCACACCTACACTAGGCAACAAGGGGTAATAAGAAAGAAGCACACTAGAGTCATCAGCATACATCACATGCAAGGCAGTAACAATCTTATCCATGTCCATATCAAAGATCGGGACGCTACGACAAAGCAAGCTGTGCCAGTCCTGAAAGATAAGGACCGGCACAACCCTGAAAGATAAGGACCGGCACAGTACCGCTGGTCTGGGCGATAGAGCGGTGGCGGGCCTCTATGGCGGACAGGGTGTCAACAAAGTCAGTGAGGGTGAGGTCTCCGAGGTGGACGCTAAGGAAGCGGTCGCGGGCAGTGGCAAGGCTGTCAGGGAGGCAGGTGGCCAGCAGGTAGAGAGCAGAGTAGAGGGGCGGCTGGTGAGCACGAAGCTGTATGTCAGTGCAGGCAGCACGCCAGGTCTCGTCTATGGTGCGCAGATGGGCAGCCATATCAGCGACAGTGGGAAATGACGTAAGGTCAGGGAAGAGCATGGGGAGGATCAGGCAACCTACCGAGGCAGCAGGCGGGGTGGAGTAGCGCTGGACAACATCATCTAGGTAAGCTGGGGCAGTGGTGACAGACCTAAAGCGAGGGCGCTCAGACAGGGGAAGGGCATGGCTGATAGCAAGCAATGCGACAGCATCACGCGACAGTCAGACGGAGCGAGCAAGGGCAGCGGCCGCAGCGGTCTCACGCTCAGCAGATGAGGGGTCAGCGGGCAGCGCAGCAGGGGGGTCACGGCAGGGGAGCGTACCGTCAAGATGGACAGAAAGCGAATGGCCATCCTGCCGCTGTCCAGTGAGGTGGCGGCGGAGGTCGGCCAGCCACGCCTCAAACTCAATCGGCTGGCCCTCAGCATCAAAGCGAAGCACCTCCGCCATCAGGAACGATGCAGGGCGGTGTAGAGCGGTGTAGTGCGGTGCAGTGCGGCGCCGTGCGGTGCAGTGCGGTACAGCGCGATGCAGTGCGGTGCAGTGCGGTACAGTGCGATGCAGAGCGGTGCAAAGCGGTGCAGAGCGGTACAGTGCGGTGCAAAACGGTGCAGTGCGGTACCAGGGGGGGTTGTAGGGCGGTGCTGGTCGGGAAGAACGGGCCGGGCACGAGTCGGCGGCGGGCCGGCGGCGAAGCGAATGCGGGGCCAGCGACGACGTGGACGCTAGGGGCCGGCCGGCGGACGGCGGACGCGAGGGGCCGGCGACGACGGCGGACGCTAGGGGCCGGCCGGCGGACGGCGGACGCGAGAGACCGGCGACGACGGCGGACGCTAGGGGCCGGCCGGCGGACGGCGGACGCGAGGGGCCGGCAAGGGGCGGGCACGGGGCCGACGAGGGGCGGGCACGAGGGGCCGGTAAGGAGCGGGCACGAAGGGGGCTGGCTAGGAGCGGGCACGGTGGCACGAGGAGCCAGCTAGGAGAGGGCGCGACGGCTCAAGGGAGGAACGGCCAGGACGGGCGCGGCGGCGAGAAGGGGCCGGCTAGGGGCAGTCGCGACGGCGAGCAGGGCCGGCTAGGACGGGCGCGACGGCACACGGGGCCGGCTAGGGACGTACTCAACGGCGCAGGGGGCCGGGTAGGACGATCGCGACGGCTGCTAGGAACGGCCGCGACGGCTAGGAATGGCCGCGACGGCGGCTAAGGACGACCGCGACGGCTAGGAACGGCCGCGAGAACGGTTAGGAACGACCGCGACGGCGGCTAGGAGCGTTCGCGACGGCTAGGAAAGTCCGCGACGGCGGCTAGGAATGACCGCGACGGCGGCTAGGAACGGCCGCGAGGGCGGCTAGGAACAGTCGCGACGGCTAGGAACGACCACGACAGCGGCTAGGAACGTTCACGACGGCTAGGAACGGCCGCGAGACGGCGGCTAGGGACGGCCGCGACGGCTGCTAGGGACGGCCGCGAGGCGATTAGGGACAGCCGCGACGGCTAGGAACGGTCGCGACGGCGGCTGGGAACGGGCGAGACGGCAGCTAGGGACGGGCGTGACGGCTAGGGGCGGGCGTGACGGCGGCTAGGGCCTAGGGCGGAAGCGTGGGCGGGCTAGGGGGGGGGCGAACCTACTATGATACCATATCAAAATGAGTAGTTAATAGAATAGAAGGATACAGGGGTATATAGACTAGGGGTTGTACCCTCGCACAATCCAGTATAGTCTACAGTAACTACATAAGTTACATTTGACAGTTATATCCGGGGGATTACGGTACCATCAAGGTGCCCCTAAGTCAAGATACTAAATGGTCCCACATGCTGTCAATCTAGGTACAATGTATCGTTTAAATGAGTTTAAATGGCAGAAAAAGCAGTGCCTGTACTGCACAGCACACCAGTATAAGTGACTTGATTTGACCCACACCCCCCCCGGCCTAAGAAAGATGTATAACGATGCCACAAGGCACAGCAGGGCTGGGCGGTGCAACACAAATGACCCGTGAGCGAAGGGCAAAGGGGGAAGGAAGAAGGCAAAGGTGGAAGAAAAAAACTGTTAGGAAACGAGGTGACTTGCGATTTGAGTCGACTCAAAAGAAACCTCAACAAGCAGTGGTCTGGTCACTGGTCATTGATCACCGGTCACTCACTCGCTCCCCTCTCCACTCCTCCATACCCAGAGTCATAACCAGCACCTAGAGAAGCTCCTCCCCCACCACCAAAATCAAACCCACGTCGAATCTGCAAACACTGCACCCCACCCACCGTTCTCTCCCTCCCTTCCTTCCCCCGCTCTCTCCCCACTACTGCCCCTATCCCTTGAACCTTCTGCTGCCAGCACCTCACGAGTCATGCCCCCTGGTCATGCCTCCTCCCAGCCACCCACTCCCCCCAGCAGATACTACTACCGCCCCACACGGCCTGCCGAGGCGAGCCACAGCGGCTAGTCACTGCTAGGCTACTCATGATGGTTCGCCTCACAGCTCGCAGCTCGCTACACACAACGCCAGCAAGAGCAGGCATGGAGGTGTCCCGTGATGGCCCTGTGGAAGACCCAGTTCCTCTGCTGGCAGGCAGGTGGTGGTGATTCCAGGGAACCCCAACAGACGCTGCTTCTATCCCCAGCGGAGATTCACTAACCCCCCCAACGCACCACCACGGGGCAGTGTCTTCTGCCCAGCTGCCTTGGAATCAGCAGCAGCATGGCATATATAGGAAGGAATGGGGACTGGCTGTGTAGCAGCCAGGCCGCCTCCAGCTCTACAGACCATCCCCAATTCGCGGCCTCAGTATCCCAATTCCCCAATGCTTGAGCCGACTCCATAATTAACGCCTCCAGCTCCACCGATCATCCCCGTTCACGACCTCAATACCCCCCTCCGCCTCCTCCTCGCCTGTCGCCCCACACCCCCCCCACCCACCCATGCCCCGCTCGCCCCCATGTCGCTGATCTGGTCGCGCCTGCTGGGACCCAGCAGCCGCCCCTCATCCCCCCCCTCCTTGAGTCGGCTCAAATGCCTATCGCCCCTCTTTCACAACTTCAATACCCCCCTCCGCCCCCCCACGCCTGTCGCCCCACCCGCCCCCTCCCCCCATGCCCCGGCCCCCCTCCATGTCGCTGATCTGGTCGCGCCTGCTGGGCCCCAGCAGCCGCCCCTCGTCGTCCCCCTCGCGCTCGCGCAGCGCCTGGCGGTGCTCCTGCTGCGCCGCTAGCAGGCGCTGCTGGTGGTGCAGGTGGTGGTCGTCGTAGCGCAGGAACGTGGGCTGGCTGGTGGACGACAGCAGCCGCGCCCACATGCGGTCCGTCAGAGACACCGTGTTGCTCTTCTCCGACACGCACTGGGGGGTGGAGGGGCAGGGAGGCAGGGGGGCAGAGTCATAAGGGCAGAGGGAGAGATCAGGGAGACGTGAGGCGGATAGGTTGAACTCGGGGCCCACATGCGGTCCATCACAGACACTGTGTTGCTCTTCTCCGACACACACTGGGGGCGGAGGGGCGGAGGGGCGGAGGGGTAGTGGGGCAGGGGGGCAGGGGGCAAGGGCAGGGGGAAGGGCAGGGGAAGGGGAAGGGGGCCAGGCACAAGGGCCGGGGTGAGAGGAGGAGTGCCAGGGGAGGGAGGTTAGACCACGCGCTCACATCCGGTTCGTGAACAACACGGCGTTGCTCTTCTCAGACCCACACTGTGGAGGGGCAGTGGGGCCAGGGGATGGGGTGAAGGCACGTGGGGTGGGGAAGGGAAAGGGAGAAGGAGAAGGCACGGGTGGAGGCACCTATGGGGGAGCAGCAGCAGCAGGCACGGACCTTAATGGGGATGTATGCATGGCGGCCGTTGATGGGCCCCACAGTGAAGCCAGTGAATCCCGCCATGGACCCGTGGATGGCGCTGTGCGCCAGCAGTGTGCAGTAGATGTTGTCACTCGCGTTCGCCGGTACTGCGCGGATCATGTACGTGGGGTCTGGTGGACAAGGCGGAGAAAAGGGCGGAAAAAAAAGAAAGAAGAAAACACGTGGAGAACGAGAAAAGAGGACACAAGCAAGCATGAGGGGGAAATGAGGCAGTAGATGCTGTCACTTGGGTTGGCCGGCACTGTGCGGAACATGTGCGCCGAGTCTGGTGGGCGTGGGAGAGGGGAGCAAGCAAAGAGCGGGATGGAGGGGTGGCGATGGAGGGGAGGGGAGGGGAGGGAGGGGAGGAGAGGGGAAGCAGAGGCAGATTGAAATCTCCCGAGCATTGCATTCTCCGGGGTGACGAGAAAAAAGGGCCAAGTGACATTCACAGGTATGGATGGAATAGTATACTCGTGGAGCAGGCCATTGGCACAAAGTGCATACCTATGTACTTGAGGTTGAGCTCGATCCGAGTCTTGGCAAAATGCGCCTGCATGTGAGAATGGGGAGAAACAGAGGGAGGCAGAGGAAGCAGGACAGGACAGGACAGTTGTACAACATGGTGATAGGGACTGAGGAAGGTTTGCAGTGCGCGCAGTACAAGCTCTGCGGTGGGTTAACACACGAGGAAACGCACTTCACCTTCCCTCACAAGTATTATCACAGATATAATAATATATATTCCCCTCCCTCTCGTTCTCCTCCCACCCTAGCCATGACCACTTTCTTGCCTTCCCCATCCCTCACCTCATCCCTTTGTTCATCCCAGAAGCCTTTGATCCCTCCTCCTCTCCCCTCTCCTGCCCCCTCTACTGCCCTTCTTTCCCAAAAACCTGCAACTTCCCCCCCTCCGCCTCCCCTCCCCCCCCCCCCCTCTCACCTTGATCTGTTGCGACAGCCAGAGCCCAATGTCCATGAGCCTTGCATTCCCCGACTCATCAGTGAGCCCCCTCCGCCCCATCCCAGCCACAGCCGTCGCCATGCCCCCCGCCGCTGCCGCCACTGCCGCCGCCGTCACCGCCGCCGTCCCCCCTCCCCCCCCATCCATCCCCATGCCCATGCCCATGCTCGTGCCCCCGGCCCCTCCCGCCCCTGCGAGCGCACTGGGCGACGACGCCGACGGGAATGGCGCGGACGCAGCGAAGGACGAGGAGAAGGGCGCGGGGTTGTAGGGGGAGTGGGAGGAGGGCGACGGCTGCAGGTCGAGCGCATCCGCCATGATGTCCTGGCCGGCGCCTTCTGCCACCACCAGCACCGCGTGCCCGCTTTCCCGTAGGCGGCGCTTGAGGAACTCGAAGAGGCCCCCCTCGCCCTCCAGGTGGAAGGGCACCTCGGGAATCAGGCAGCAGTCCTGGGGATGGGATGGGGTGAGGTATGGGGATGGGAAGGGGGAGAGGGGGGGCGTTTGAGTTGACTCAAAAGAGAAGCCTCACTTATGCCTCTCTAGGTGGAAAAGCACCTCCGGGATCAGACAGCAGTCCTGGGAGGTGAGAAGGGGATTGGGGGGTGGGGGGGAGGTTGAGTCGACTAAAACTATAAGTCCCACCCTCGCCCTCTAGATAGAAGGGCACTGCGGGGATCAGGCAGCAATTCTGGGGGTGAGAAGGGGTCGGAGGGGGGGGGGGGAAGAGGCGTGGGGGGGGCTTTTGAGTCGGCTAAAAAGAACAGCCTCACCCTCGCCCTCTAGGTGGAAGGGCACCTCCGCAAACAGGCAGCAGACCTGGGGGGTGAGAAGGGGGGCGAGGGGCAGGGGTGAATGCAGGCGCACAGGATACATACAGATGCAGGGGAAGCTCCCTGGGAAGGGTGCAGTGGACATTTCAGACGTCCACAAAGGACAAGGTGAGTTTAGGGGGGAACAGAATGAGGAGGGGGAGGGGGAGTGGACTGCTGCAGATGGTGAGGCATGCAGAAATGAACACAGACAGGGCGGAAAGCGGCGATGGGGATAGGGAGAGTGGATCAGAGTGAGAGAGATGCAGAGAGAGAGAGAGAGAGAGAGAGAGAGAGAGAGAGAGAGAGAGAGAGAGAGAGAGAGAGAGAGAGAGAGAGAGAGAAGAGAGAGGGAGGGAGGGAGGGAGGGAGGGAGGGAGGGAGGGAGGGAGGGAGGGAGGGAGGGAGGGAGGGAGGGAGGGAGGGAGGGAGGGAGGGAGGGAGGGAGGGAGGGAGGGAGGGAGGGAGGGAGGGAGGGAGGGAGGGAGGGAGGGAGGGAGGGAGGGAGGGAGGGAGGGAGGGAGGGAGGGAGGGAGGGAGGGAGGGAGGGAGGGAGGGAGGGAGGGAGGGAGGGAGGGAGGGAGGGAGGGAGGGAGGGAGGGAGGGAGGGAGGGAGGGAGGGAGGGAGGGAGGGAGGGAGGGAGGGAGGGAGGGAGGCCTTTGGCCTGTGGCATGTGGCGTGTGGCATGTAGCATGTGGCATGTAGCATGCGGCATGTGGCGTGCGGCATGTAGCGTGTGGCATGTGGCGTGTAGCATGTAGCATGTGGCAAGTGGCACGTGGCTGTGTGGGGAGAGGGAGTACATACCACGTCACGGCTGGCAAGAGTGGCATGCATGGCGATCTGACCTGCAAACGCAAAAGCGCGGCAAGGGATGGACAACCACCAAGGCTATTATACAGAAACGAGGTACCAGCCGCTTGTGTAAATCCTTAAAGCAAACTCGTTCCAGCTTTACCCCAGGACCCCCATTACCGCACAAACCCCCCCCCCCAGGACTCACCGCAGAAGAGCCCTGTGAGCTTGACGAGCCCTTCGAAGTTCAAACCAGCTCGTTTCCAGCTCAAACCAGCTCGTTTCCAGCTGTACCCAACCCAAGAAACCCCCTTACCCCCGGACCCCCCAGACCACAAAACCCCCTCAAGACTCACCGCAGAAGCGCCCCATGAGCTTGACGAGCCCCACGCCGTTGTGCACGGAGCTGGCCTCCACGTGCGCGGCGTTGATGGCGCGCTGCGCCTCCTCCACCGCCGTGTCAAACCCAAACGACTTGTCGATCAGCGCCAGGTCGTTGTCGATCGTCTTGGGGATGCCCGCCACCGTCACCTTGAGCCCCCGCGCTGCGATCTCCTGCGTGCCAGGCGATGGCCACCGGGGCGAGGGGGAGGCGAAGCGGGGGGTCGGGGGGTAGAGAAAGGGGATTGAAGCAAAGGGTTCCGCACAGGCGGGCCAGGAGGGGGTTGGAAGGAGAAAGCGCGATTAGCATGAACAACCACAGAAGGGTAAGAGAAAATGCGCAGACAGGAACCGGGCTGGATGGAGGGTTGGGGGTTGCACAAGGGGTGGTTGGTGGGAGAAAGCGGGTTGGAGTTGGAGAGCAGAGGAGAGAACGAGAGAAGTCGTTTCTGGGTGCTTTACCTCGTGGATTTTCTCGGCGCCTCTCTGTGTGCCGTCCCCTCCGATCACATAGATCTGATAATATGCATGCACGCCCCCATGCACGCCCCCTCCCCCCCCCCCCCCCCCCCCCAAACACACACAGAGAGTCCCATACACACAGACCCATGCACACAACCACACACAGGCACTCACAACGCAGGGGTGAACACATCCACCCATCCTCCTCCCATCACGCACAGCAGCACACACACACACACGCACAGGATAGGGCACCAAATGGGAGCTGGTTGCTGGATGTGGGCAGGTTCTGACGATCTACTCATGGCTAAACCTGTGCATGCCGGAGAAAAGCATCAACATCTGCTCACCTGGTTGAACCCTCATATCCCTCGTCTACTTCATCCCTCATCTAGTTGATCTCTCACCTGGTTGCTCCCCTCACCTGGTTGATGCGCCCATCCCCCCTTCCCCCCCTGTGCGCACCTGGTTGATGCGCCCATCCCCCCTTCCCCCCCTGTGCGCACCTGGTTGATGCGCCCATCCCCCCTTCCCCCCCTGTGCGCACCTGGTTGATACCCCTGTCTTCCAGCGCGTTGACGATCTTGTTGACCTCGTGCCCGCCCCGGGACGTGCCGAGGAACGTGCCGCCACGCTTGTGGATGTCGTTGACCACCTTGGGGTTGAGCGACACCACGTTGCGCGAGTAGATGCCGCGGTACCCGCCCTGCTCCCGGAGAAGAGAAAGAGGAAGAGGAAGAGGGCGGAGAAGCGAGGGAGCGAGGGGGGGGAGAGAGAGAGGGAACGAGCGTGGGAGAGGAGAGGGGACGAGGGGGAGAGTGGGAGAGAGAGTGGGGAGGGGAGAGGGGCGAGGGGAGAGGGGGCGAAGGGAGCGAGAGTGGGATTTAGAGGTGCTTCAACGCTTGTGGATGTCGTTGACCACCTTGCGGTTCAGCAGCGCCACGTTGCGCGATTAGGTGCCATGGTACCCGGCCTGAGGGGAGAGAGAGGCGAGAGTGGGCTAAGGGGGGCGCGAGAGTGAGGAGAGGGAGCTGGAGTGAGGAGCGGGGGGAGGGGGGGGGGGGGGGGGCGCGCAAGGGGAGAGAGAGCGAGAAGAGGGAGCAACGGGAGGAGGTAGCGTGAGGGGAAGGGCAAAGGCGAGCCACGTCGCGGGTTGCAAGATGTCGAGAGGCAAAAATAGCCATAAAGAGTTGCGGCCATAGAAAAGAACCCCATCCACACCCCCTGACCGCCCAACTTCTTCCCCCATCCCCCACCCCCGATCTCGCCCCCCGCTACACCCCCTCTTCTTCCCCCACACGAGCTCGCGAATCACATGGCTACCCCCACCCTGTCCCCTCAACCTCCCTTCCCCCCCCCCCACTCCACCCCTCCCCACCGCACCCCACCCCACCCACACCACCCACGCATGTCGATGCCGAGGATGTCCCGGACGCCGTACTGGAACCACAGCTCACACACGAGCTCGCGGATCACATGGCTACCCCCACCCTGTCCCCTCAACGTCGCTTTCGCCCCCACCCCACTCCACCCCTCCCCACCGCACCCCACCCACACCACCCAACTCACGTCGATGCCGAGGATGTCCCGGACGCCGTACTGGAACCACAGCCCCCACACGAGCTCGCGGATCACCGTGTTGATGCCCGGACACAGCCCCCCGCACGTCACGATCGCCGCGCGCACCTCGTCCGGGTGAAACACGATCTGCCGCGCGCCCGCGCACAGGGGGAAGGGTTGGGAGCCAGGGGGGAGGGGCGGGGGGGGGGGGGAGCAGGAAAGTAGCGGTGTTTTGAGGCGCCTCATGAGACGATAGCGCGCCACCACGTCCGGGCGAAACACGATCTGGCGCGAACAGACCAGGGAGGGGGGGAGTGGCGGGGGGAAGTGGGGGAAAGTGGGGGGAAGTGGGGGGGGAGTGGTTGGGGGTGAATTTGTAGGTACGTTAGAACACGATAGCGCACACCCCGTCCGGGTGAAGCACGATCTGAGTCACACAGGCGGGGATGGGGGAGAGGGGGAGGGGGGAAAGAGCTCGAGGTCGTTGGCATGACGGGTTGAGCTTTTGCAACGGGGGAATGCGATGCGATCGAGGGGGAATGCGATGCGATCGAGGGGGAATGCGATGCGATCGAGGGGGAATGCGATGCGATCGAGGGGGAATGCGATGCGATCGAGGGGGAATGCGATGCGATCGAGGGGGAATGCGATGTGATCGAGGGGAAAATGCGAGGCGGGAACGCGAGGGGGGATGCGAAAAGGGGGGGGGCGAGGAGGTAGGGCGGGCGCGGACCTTTTCTCTGGGGCCAGCTTTGCGGAAGAAGACGCCGGTGCCGATGTTGTTGATGGACGTGATCACCTCGCGACTCACCACCTGATCCTCCTCCACGAAGAACGTTCTGATGGGCGCACGCACACAACCGCACACAAACGCACACAAACGCGGACACACACAAATGCGGACACACCAAAAACGCGTACGCACACAAACGCGTACACGGACGAACGCGTATACGCACACAAACGCGTATACGCACACAAACGCGTACACGCACACGACGAATCCATCATGGAGATCGAGGGTCAGAGCGCGAGGCGAAAGGGAGCAACGCGCATAGAGTGGAGAGCAGAGATGGTCACCTCGCGACTCACCACCTGATCCTCCTCTCAAAAATGGGAGAGAAATTACTGTAGCATGGAAGCAGTGGCAGCAGCAACCATTGCTACAGCTAGGGCTACAGCTAAAGCTACAGCTAGGGCTACAGCCGATGGCTACAGGCAGCAGCAGCGCGTTTGTCGCAGCGAGGCATGAGGACTCACTCCACGTGTGCGTATGCCGGGTTGCGCTGCAGAGGGCTCGGATACAGCTGCGACCAGAGATCCAAAGATGGAGCACGCATGGACAGGGGGGGAAGAGGGGAGAGAGGACAAGGGGTGGACGGCGGGAGAAGCAGCGTGAGGGAAGCGGAGGGGATAGCGTGAATAGGACGGAACAGGAAGCAACTCGAGATGTCTTTTGAGTCGACTCAAAAGTCACCTACGGGGCGGACGGCGGGAGAAGCAGAGTGAGGGAAGCGGAGGGGATAGCGTGAATAGGACGGAACAGGAAGCAACTCGAGATGTGTACCAAGAAGGAGAACAGCAAGCGGAAAGGGAACGCCAAGGGCAACTGCTATTGTGAGCCCTTTTTTCCATCCCCTCCGGAGCACGCCGCACGCACACACACCCGGATCTCCGCATACACACCCGAAGATCCGGGATCCAGTTGGCAAGGTGAGGCACGTCTTCGATCACGGGGCGAGATTCCGGCATGACAGGTAGCCTATCCGTCTGCACGGGCACAGGGAGTGTCGTGTTCGGATCAACCTCCGCCTCCCCCAAAGCGGGGGAAACGGCGGTAGCGGGGGATCCGCGGTTGGCGGAGGCGGAATCGGCGGGGGCGGCTGTTAATGCCGCCCTCGCTCCTCCGCCATCCCTGCTGACCGCGGGGAAGGCCGCTCCGCTGCTGACGCGCGGAGCTTCCAGGGAGAGGACCTGCGCAACTGCTGGTTGCGCCTGCGCAGAGAAGCAGCGGGAGATCCGGCGGGCGAAAAAGGCAGCGTTGGCGGCAGAGGAAGCGGAAGCGGAGGAACCGACTAACCCGGCCACTGCTGCAGGGCGCGACGCGAAGGGAAGAACGAACGTGCTGCTGCTGGCGGCTGCGACAATACCGCTGCTTCTATAAACGAGCGCGTGGCGCATTTGCGATGTTCCAAAAGCGAGAGCGCGTTTCCCGGCCTCCTGACTCATGGTGTCCGCTAGTACGCCATGTCTTCCCCCTGCTCGCCTCGCTTTGATGCTGCTGCTGCTGTTGCTGCTGCTTCTGCCGCCAGTGGTCCCGCTGCCGCTGCCTTTCTCCCGCCAACTCTCGTTAGCGAAGCCGTCGCCTTGGCTGCACTCAAAAGAGCTACATGGCTGCAGCAGCTTCTGCTGCGGCTTTTCATCATGGCGACGCTCGTCCCACCTCCCAGACGCGCCCCCCCCGGTAAGCCCAACCACGGCAGAAGCAGGAGCTGAATACGGGCTCCCTTCAGCGCAATCCAACGCTTGCTGATGCGCAGATGGCGCGGCTAAGCGGTCAAGATCGCACGGCGGCAGGGGATGCGCGGAGTGGGTATCGGAGGTGGCGGAAGAGGAGTGGAAACGGGGAAGCAGCGGCAGCGGAGAACAAGAACCGGACGTTCCGCTGGCGAAGACGATTCGCAGCAGAGGAAGAGCGGCCGCAGCGGGGATTTTGGTGGACAGTGGACTAAGGGGATCCATCGGAACAAAAAATGGTGCTGGACGTCAAAGATATCCCCCGATCCCGGAGATATCTAAAAGACTGTCAGTTGAGCTACAAGCGGGCCCGCGGGGCACAGTAGGAGATAAGGTAGGAATAAATAGGAGAGTAGGCCACAAGTGGGATGCCGGCATAAGTTAATGATCCTTAGGCTACTATGAGGAAGAATGGCCGATGATGCTGCTGGACGGCTGAAGGGATCATTTTCAGCCGCTCCAGGCGGAGTTTGGCAACAATACGGGTAATTAATTAAGACAGTAACAGCCCGGACGCCAAGCCTAGGATCTACAGCCAAGTCTAGACTAGAATTCGCAGACAAGTCTAGAATCCGCTCGACGCGCGTGCTCCATCAAATACAGTACTCCCTTGCGCTGGTCGTGAGGCTTGAAGGGGAGGACACACTTCCGTGTTGGGAGAATCGCTGATCTTGAGTTGGTGGGGGAACCTAGGTTCTAGCACAAACCTTGATGGCGGACGATTGGTGGCGGGGGACACAGGCGGAGCACCGTCGGCCACAGTGCGCAACGCGCAAGCAAGGCATGGGGACCAGGCCTCTTGCTAACAGGGTAATTACCCTAAATGTCGAAAAATTGCGATTTTTTTCCGAATCCCTCCAACGTACGGAAACAATTTCGCGCGATTCCTTAGCCTAACGAGTACTTTTTGTCGAATCCGTACGGGCTATACTTGGCAATCTGTAGGAGGGCTATACTTAGCCGAGCCCCCCGCCACGCCCCCCCCCCTCCCCCCCTTTCCCCCCGCCTTTGATCACTTGCTAGCGAATTTGTAGCGGCCGATTCCTTTCAGTAACGGGTTGTTTTTTTGGAATTCCGCCTGTTAACGGGTATTCCTGAGGCGATTCCGTCCCCTTCCGGAATACCCTGGGGCTTAGCGAGAGACCTGATGGGGACAGGCGCCCACGCGGCAGACCGAGTTCGTCCGCCACCGCGGCAGCCAGAACGCACAGCAGACCAACCTTCACCCACACAGGAATGTGTTCAAATCCAAGAATCTGAATACAGTAGTGTACTATAAATCTGAGTTCTGTACTTCATTTTTGTGCCTCCCGTGATGTTGGTTTGTCGAGGCTGATACCTCATCAGCGGAATCTTCGCACACGCGAGGTACGCAGGTTGCACATTAACCCACCGCGACGAACCTAAGTCGCTTTTTGTGGCTCGCGAAACTATGGACTCTGTCGCCGACGCCAACGAAATGTACACGATGACGTTCCTTGTTCAGTTAGTCAGTCGCCAGAGCATCCCTACGGAGATCTCATCCCATCTCATCTCCATGGGTTACGGAGTCCTTCGGGCACTGACAGGTCAGCGGAATGGGGAGTCACTGGGTTTGGGGGAAGTGGTGGTTCTTGTGAGAGTCGAGCGAAACGTCTGTCTGGACTCTGGATGGAGCAAACGATGGGACAACTTCGCCAACACTCAAATTATGCCAGGCGCCATGTTCATCTGTACTCAAGCCAATCAAATCGTTTCTGGGTAGCCCAAATAAACCCCAGAGCGAACCTGGTTGTACTTCGGGAGGTATCAACCCTAAGCTCGTTTTGGGCAGCGGAAAGAAATCCTGTGATTGGTTTGAGTACAGATGAACACAGCGCCTGGCATAATTTGAGTGTTTCTGGTACAACAATTGCTGTAATACACAAGTTCTTCGCATGCCTATTGGTCAAGTTTGATGCGCACCTGGTATGCCTGAGGTAACATGCATCAAGTCAGGGCAGGACAAGTAGTGGGAGGAACTGAACTGAGCCAGCCGCCATTGCATGTGCATTGTGCACTGCTGGCGCTGTTTAGAGTTCAAGCAAGGGTGAATGGGCGGTGGAGGCAAATGGCAGCAGACTTGTTCTGTGAAAGTAGTCGGCGCGCATTGCCCTGAGCAGGTCAATTGGTGCCTTGTTGGGAATAGTTCCCGAAAATCATGCGGAATCTCGAGCTGACGTGGCTATACAAGACGCATGACCCAATCCAGGCCTAGTTCTCCGGAACTTTCACTTTAATGGGTGGTTTGACAGGCTAGCTCCCTTTTCTATTTGGTTTGTATTCCTAGGAAGTTAGGACCCCTCACGGCTGAATATCGGCGTTAAAGCGAGGATCCCAAGAAGCAGAAAACCAAACCCAAAGGTTTTGGTTTCGGGGGGTCGCGAAAATTGCGAGGTGTAGTGAGGGGTGTTGGGGGCCGGTGTTACTGTTTCGTTCATTTCGCTAACCCGATTCCAAACCTTTTGGACTTGGTTTCGTGCTTCTTGAGATCCTCGCATTCACGATTCGGCGCAATTTTTACAGACTCACCTTCTCCCTATTACCCTCTCATTACCCTCATTTCCCTGTTCGTTGTGGCAACTACCTTCACATTAGTTTGTATCATTGTACATGTTACAAGCCACCTCGTACAAGAGCATACAGAAAGAAAATAAATAATTCGAAGCTAATACAAATGCTGGGATAACGAAAATCAAACTCCTATTTAGTAGTCAAGTTAGAAAACAATAAAAACAGGGAATAAATAGCATGCAATGCTATGGTAGTATAGCACCACTGGAGCTAAGCAAAACACTGTTTTCTAAAAGATTGATCACAATGCAATCAATCCACAACACGAGGGCGGGTGCAGCACGAAAATGCGGCAGCACCCCGGTTCCTAAGAAGCAAGCGACCCGGTTCCTGCGCATGACAACAAGACAAGGAGCAAAAAATCGTGAGTAAGACTAAAGGCGACAAGTCCAAGGTTAAGAATACATGGCCAAAAAAACTGAAGGCAAGACCAGGGGAAAGAGTGTTACCGGAACGTCATCGTCATCCTCCTCATCTGCTTCGTTTCGCTCCATCGCCCTTTTCTGCCCACGTGGTGAGACCGTTGCTGCCGCTGTTGCTGCTGTCACTTTACCCTCCTCTGGCCTGCTCTGCGCCTGTGACTTCTGCTGAACATTCTCACCCCCCTCCGCCACTTCACCGCCATTCCTCTCCCGTCCCTCCCCCCCCCATGCCTCCTCATCCTCCTCCTTCCCCTCCTCCTCATCCTCATCCTCATCCTCATCCCCCTCGTCGTACCACTCCCGCCGCTCATCCACCCGACACAGCCCCCCAAAGCATCGCGGCTGCGGCTCTGCACAGTTCTTTAGGGAAAAGCACTGCACCTTGAAATCCTCGCTCTCCACCCACTCTGCAGTCCGCATGTGCACCGGCTGCACCACCTCCCCTTGCTCCCCAACCAGCCCCGAAACCACAACACCTTCCCCCCCTCCCCTCCCTGATGGCGACGCCCCTGCCTTGCCTCGCCCAGATGGGCGGCTCCAGATGGGGGACAGCGGGCGGCACGGTCGGCACGAAACGGCAGGAGCCATCCTCCCGGCCTGGTGCATGATCCCTGTGCACTGCACCACCCCCTCCTCCATTCCTTCTAGGATCCGCTCAGACCTCCTCCCAGCTCCTCCTCCTACTACTCCCCCCTCACCATCCCCCCCCTCCCTCTCAGAGAGCTCGGAGCGAGCGATAGAGAGGGTGGGTAGCAGGCGCGCTGACTGGGTGCCTCTAAGGGACCCGTACGGGCCGCACTGCGGCTGCAGGCAGCGCCTGTGGCGGAGAACGAAGTCGTCTATAGGGAGTACGTGGATGGAGCAGGACATGTGGGCGGCGCCGCTGCCGCTGGGCTGGGTGCGCAGACTGGCGCTTCCTGCCTTGTGCCGGACGCCTTGCATTGTGCTCCAGTCGTCGTCGGCGTCGTCATCCTCGCTCTCCTCGTCGCTCACATTGTGCGTTATGTACCGGCTGTTGCTGCTGGTGGTCTTTCCCTGCTGCTGCGCCTGCTGCTGCGGTTGCTGCTGCGCCTGCTGTTGCGCCTGTGCTTGTTTCATCTCTCCTCTCTGATTCCCAACCTTCACCTCCTCTTCCTCTTCCTCTTCCTCTTCCTCCTCTTCTTCCTCTTTGTTCCCTTCCTCCTCATCATCCTCAGCTTCCTCTTCCTCTCTCACTTCACTCACCTCCTCATCACGATCCTTTACAGTCCGCCTCTTGCCCTCTTCCCCTTCTACCTCCTCTTCCTCCTCCTCTTCCTCCTCCTCTTCCTCCTCCTCTTCCTCCTCCTCTTCCTCCTCCTCCTCTTCCTCCTCACTATCCCCCTCACTCTCTGCCCTCCCATCCATCATCTCTCCAATCTCCCTTTCAAAAGCTGCTGCCTTCTCATCCAACCCCCCACCACCACCAACCACATCCCGCTCCTCTGCATCTCGCATAACCTGCACAAAGTCTGTAACCAGAGGGGCACATTCCTGCGTGCCTCTACCCCGCAGCAGCATGCTCTTGACCGCGGGCGGAGGGGTGATTGGCCGGCCTGCCATCTTGCGCTTGTACAGGGACCGAGGCGGCCAATCCACGTCCTCTTGCTGCTGCACATGCTTTCCAGCCGTCACCAGTGCCTTCCCCTTGTTCCCATCCCCCGCCGTAACCACCTCAGCTGATGCTGCTGTCATGGTCACTGCCGCTGCATCATCATCATCATCATCATCATCAGCAGCAGCAGCAGCAGCAGCAGCAGCATCGGATGCTGCCCCTGCTGGGCTTGGAATGGGCAAAGACGATGCTGCAGCCACAGCAGCAGCTGCTGCTGCAGCAGTGGTTGCAACGGTTGCTGTTGCTGCAGAGGGTGTGTGCGGTGACGCAGGGGAGGACGTCACCCGTCCCTCTTGCGACTCCTTGAGTATGTCGCCACTGCAGCTCACAGTCACAGCCGGCCGCCGAGAGGAGAGGGCCGCCGAGGTGGCGGCAGGAGTGGCGAGTCTCGACCAGGGGGGAGCGCGGGCGATAGCAGCAGTGCTGGCTGCTCCCTTGCTGCTGGTCGCTCCTTTGCTACTGATGCTGCTGGTGCTGTTGATGCCCATGGCACCTGTTTGCTGTGCTCCCTTACTTCCACTGCGGCCGACAAGGTCCTCTTCCTGCTCATCCTCATCCTCTTCCTCATCCTCCTCCTCCTCTTCCTCCTCCTCTTCCTCTTCTTCATCCTCATCCTCCCTGCTTCCTTGAACTTGCACGTGATACATCCTGCCATGTGCCTTTGACTCCTCCTCCTCCTCATCGTCCTCCTCCTCGTCCTCTTTGTCATCGGTTCTTTCTACAGAAGCCCTTTTCATTCTCGCCTTCTTCTCCTCCTCCTCCTGCTCCTCGCCCTCCTCCCCATCTTCCTCCTCCATGTCCCCCTCCTCAACCCCCTCCCCCCTTTCCAGCCCTCCTGCTTTCCCCAGCCTGCTCTCCCCAATCTCCCACCCGCGTCCCGACCCCCAGCTCTTCTGCTTCGCATACAGTGCAGCCAGCCCCCGTCCCGACCCAAACCCAGCAGCCATCAGTTCCATTTTCACGCTTTCTACATCCTCCCGCCTGCTCTCCAGGTTAGCAGAATTGGCCCGGGACAGCGGACACACCTGCTGTTCGTCATACCCCTTCACATCCACCTGGTTCGGGTGTATAGGCACGGCGAGCCGGTACGCCTCGGAAGACTGAGGTTCGGAAGGCGCGGCAGGGTCGGAGAGGAGGAACGGAGCAGTGGAGAGGGCAGACGGGCCAACAGGGGGGCGGAGGGGGGAGGGACCGGAGGAGGTACGCTCGGGAGGGGTGAGCGAGGCGAGGTGCGGCGGGGAGGAGAAGGAGAAGATGGATTTGGACTGGGGGGTAGAGGAGAAGACAGCGAGCAACGGGTGCTTGATCGGGGCTGTTCCCGAGGGGAAGGTACCAGGGGAGGGGGCGCGCCTTGGGTGGGGGGCGCTGTGGTGCGGCGGGTGCGAGCGGATGAACGGGTGGCTTCGGGTGTGTGACGATGGGAGAGGCGTGGACAGATTGGGGGTAGGTGTCTGCTGCTGCGATGCTGCTGCTGCTGGATCACTTGAGACTTGAAATACAGGTGAGTCCGATCCTGCTGCTGCTGCTGCAGGTGATGCTGATGGGGTGGAACGTTCAGGAGTGAGTGCAGCAGCAGGAGCGGCAGGCAAGAAAGGAGCGGACGGGGAGTGGAGGAGGAGGCTGGGGTCTCTAGGTGCAGGAGAAGGGGATGAGGAGAAGGGCGCGGGAGCGACCGGAGCAAAGTGGAAAGAGTGTGTGCTCGAGGGTTCCTCTGGTGTCAGCGGCCGCGATGGGGCCTCGGAGAAGACAGTCACGGGGCACACTTGGTCCTCCTCGAAGCATGGCAGCAGGGCCTCTGACTCGACCATGCCTGAGGATAAGGAAGCGGAGGCGAATAGCGTGGATGTAGCTTGGAAGGCCGACGGGGTGGAGGCAGCGGAGAGGGGCGACGCAGCGGCCACAGCGGCTGCTGCTGCAACGGCGGCAGAAACGGCAGCCGCAGCAGCCATGCCAACCGTTGCAGGAGGTGCCGTGGACGGACGAACAAGATCGCGCCCTCCTCCTCCCACTGCCCCTCGCAGCCCCCCTCCCCGCCTACCTCCCTCGCCGCTGATTGCACGATACGCCACGGTGGAAGAAGCAGGAGCAGCAGCACAAGCAGCCTCAAGGCCAGCGCCAGAAGCGGCTGCAGCGGCAGCGGTGCTAGGCTGATGGCAGGAGGAGGTGGAGTGGGATATGGGGATTCCAAGGGGCCGACCAGCCAACAACCGGCCGCCAACACCAGCATGTGTAGGGGAGCGCAGGAGCGGACTGAGCTGCGGTGTGTGGTCCGGGGTTGGCCGAGGCTTGGCGAGCGTGCGCGTGGCTTCAGCCAGGGAGAGCCCGTTGTAGTTTATGTGCGGGGCCAGGGGACCGTATGGCTCGTAACCTGGCAGTAGGGCGGCTGCATGTGGATGCAGGGATGATGGGGGATTGGTAGATGGTGCTTGCAGGAAGGGCACATCATCCACACCATCCCCATCCCCATCCCCATCCTCTGAATCCGCATCTTGAGCATCAATCGTGAGCACGTCTGCCCCGCCACGACTACTGGACGGCGCACTCGCACTGCCACCACGCAGAGGAAGCACTTCAGAAGAAAGTGAAACTCCTGCAGGAGCCAGATCTCTCTCCTCCGCATCGAAAAACTCCTCGTCTTCTAACTTGCCGTCGCCACCGCCGCCCGCCCTTCTCTCCACCCTGCCGGCCCCCTTGCCTCCCCCCCGTGAACCTGCACCTCTGCTTGCTGCTGCTGCTGCTGCGGGAACACCCGCTGCTGCAGCGGCAGCTGCAAGTTCCTTGGCAGCCGGGCCAGAAACAGACCCCAGCACCCGCTGCAGAGTGTGCAGCTGCTGCCGTTGGTGAGCGTGCTTCTGCAGGGCAATCATGGACCTGAACGCCCGCAACTCTTTTTTCGCCCTCTTGTCATCCCCAGCGACACCTCCTCTCTCCCTGTCCTGCTGCACCACTGCCAGATCGCCTGGCCGGTCTCGCTTTTGTCCCGCACCCACATCATCAGCATCAGAGCCATGAGGAGACACGGCAACTGCTGCAACTGGAGCCTCCACTACCGCCGCTGCTGCTGCTGCAGGCTCTGGTGCGGGTATGCCTGCTGCCGCTGCAGCAGCTGCAAGTTCCTTGGCAGCCGGACCAGCAACAGACCCCAGCACCTGCTGAAGCATGTGCATCTGCTGCCGCGAGTGCGCGTGCTTCTGCAGAGCAATCATGGACCGGAACGCCCGCAGCTCTTTCTTGCTCCTCTTATCATCCACAGAGGCATATCCCCTCTCCCTGTCATGCTCTTCTGCTGCTGCTTGTGTCGCACCCACACCATCATCAGGAACAAGAGTCGAGGCAACAGCTGCCAAAACCAGACCACCAATCACTGCTGCTGCTTCTTCTGGTGCTGCTGGCGCTGCTGCTTCTGCTGGCGCTGCTGCTTCTGCTGGTGCTGTTGCTTCTGCTGGCGCTGCTGCTTCTGGTGGTGCTGGTGCAGGCACGCCCGCTGCAGAAGCCGCAGCAGCAAGCTCGTGAGCAGCGGGGCCCGCAACAGACCCCAGCACCCGGTGCAGCATGTGCATCTGCTGGCGCTGGTGGGCGTGCTTCTGCAGGGCAATCATGGACTCGAACGCCCGCACCTTGGCTGACACTGTGCTCATGCGCACACAGGATCGCTGAGATGGGTGCACGGTTGACGGGCGCATGGACGGCCGCACCGGAGAAGATACCGATGATGCTGATGCTGATGGTGATGCTGATAATGATGATGATGGAGGTGGTGTAGAGGCAACGGCAGATGGGGTGACACAAGGGACGGCAGGTGAAACTGCAGGTGCAGCCATCGTTGAAGGCAAGGATGCTGCATCCAGCACCTCTCCTGCTCCCCCCCTTCCTCCTCTCTTTTCCACCTCTCCTGCTTCTCCTTCCTCCTTCCCTGACTCGCCCGAAGCTTGTGCATCCTCTCCCATTCTGTGAGGCCCACTGGATGCAGCAGAGACAGCAACAGCAGCAACAGCAGCGGCGGTAGCAGCAGCGGCAGCAGCAGCGGTAGCAGACACCGCAGGCACGGCAGCAGCAGCAGCCTGGCCCATCCTCCCCTCCTCCCGTCCCACCTCCTCCGCCTCCTTGCAGCCCTCGTCCTGCCTGCTCTCCCCCTCTCCAGTGACCCTCACGTCTTCACTTCTTCTCTCTTCATCCTCCTTCTCCTCCCTCTCCTCAACCTCATCCTCCTCTGCCTCCTCCTCCACCTCCACCTCCGCCTCCGCCTCCGCCTCCTCCGTTTCCTCCGCAACCGCAACATTAGTGCCAGCCCCAGAGCGCAAACCCACTCGAGACCTCTCAGCACCAATCGCGTTCACACGGGGAGACGGCGTATAAGAAGGAGACGAGGGGGGAGGGGAGGAGGAGGAGGAGCAAGACGCATCACCTGAGGGCGGAGAGACAAACGCAGACGACGCAGACGTCCCGGGCCATGCCGGGAGTGGCGGCGGCGTCAATGCAAAGCCAGGGGGAGAGTCCGGGCCCAGTCCAGAAGCTTCCAGGAACCTCTTCATGTCCTGCTCAAGTGCAGCAGCCACAGCCTTCAGCGGGCTGTTGGTGCTGCCCCTCAGCGCGGACTTGATCTGAGCCAAAGGGCCCGCGACAGCAGCCAGCATCGCAGCTACATTCGCCACCCCCTCCTGCACTGCCTCTGTGTCCTCCCCCCTCCCCGGGGAGGAGGCGCCCTCGGACCTCTCACGCACTCCCTTGCTCTTGAGAGGACGATTCGAGGCGGTGGTGCGCGCAGCATCAGCCGCAGGCCTTGAGAGCCGCAATCTGGCCCGATTCTTAGCTGCCGCTGTCATCCTGCCCAGATCCTCCTCCTCATCCTCCTCATCCTCCTCTTCCTCCTCTTCCTCCTCGTTTTCTTCCTCCCCTTCATCCTCATCCACCACCTTCCGCTTTCCACCCTCACCTTCCCTGCTCTCCTCCTCGTCTTCCTCCTCCTCTGTCTCCTGCTCTGTCTGCTCCTCCTCCGCCTCCTCCTCCTCCTCTTCCTCCTCTTCCACCTCCGCACTATCCTCCTCACTGTCCTCCACTGTCTCCTCACTCTCCTCCCCCTCACTATCAGACATACCAACAACGGCGCCTGCGCTCCCCTCGCCCCGGCCCCGCTGCCACACAGACTCGTGCAGGTGAGCCAAGCGGTGCTGCGTCCTGTTTTGAGGCGCCTCAAAACTGGAGTCGTGCAGCTGGGCCAAACGATGCTGCATCTGATTTTGCGGCACCTCAACACTAGAGTCGTGCAGCTGGGCCAGGCGCTGCTGTAGCCGGAGCCTGCTAGCCTCGGAAAACGAGAAGCCGCCGCTGCCGCTGCGGGTTAGCGCATCAGCGGGGACGCTGCTGCTGCGGGCAATCGCATTCGCGAGGACTGCTTTGAACGCCAACGCCAGTGGGCCTGTAGCGCCTGCACCACGCACGCTTGTACCAGCTGCTGCTGTAGCATTTGTAGCATTTGTAGATGGCGCGGTTGTGGCAGCCACACCTGCAGCAGGCACAGTCGTAGCAGCTGCAGCAGCCGCTGTTGTGGCAACTGCAGCTGTAGCAGTTGTAGCAGCCGCGGTTGTAGCAGGAATGGCAGGAGCAGTGGCATCTGTTGCTTCGCTGTGCACGAGTTGTTGCCCCTTAGCCGTGTCCCCCCACACCAATGGCTTACTGCCACTGGTGGTGGTAGAGGCAGCCGAAGCAGCGGCAGCAGCAGCAGTAACACTGGAGCTCTCTTGGGAAGCTGCAACTGTCTGGCTCGGAATAGCAGCAGCAGGAACAGCAGCAGCCAAAAGAGGAGCGCCGCTAGCAATAGCAGCAGACGCAGCAGGAATCGCACTGACACTAACACCAGCAGCTGGAGCAGCAGGAGCAGCAGGAGCAGCAGGAGCAGCAGGAGCAGCAGGAGAAGCAGCAGCAGTTCTGTCTCTTCCCAGCCGCCCACCCATGATGGACTGCAGCAGCAGCGCCTGCCTGGTGGGATCTGGCCGCGTCCACTTGCTCGAGTGCGCGCGAATCACATTCGGCACCACCGCACCGATCACCACCGCACCGCCCCCCTCCCCACCTTGCTCCACCTTCTCCACCGGCTCCTCCAGCAGCTCTGCCAAGCCACTCGCAGAACTGTTCGACATCCGCCTAACTGGCACCGGCTCTGAATGCACGGGCACGGGCACGGGCACCAGCTCTGGCACTGCCACAGGCGCTGGCACTGGCACTGGGACTGGCACACTCGTACTTGTACTCAAACCCTCTGTGCTGATTTCTCCCTGCTTTCTCTCGAGAGCAGCCTTGAGCGCATCGCTGCGGTGCACATTGTGGGAGGGCGCGAGCGAGTCGCTAGGTGAAGTGTTGTTGTTGGGGCTGCTGCTGGTGGAACTACTACTGTCCCCCCCCACTGCATGCTTTTCAGCCGAGTCGAAAGCAGCAGGCTCGAGGGAGTCGCTGGTGGGGCTGTCTTCCAGTGCGTCTGCCCACTCCTCAGAGCTCGACCCCTCACTCACGTCTGACTTAAACTCTCCACTCTCTTGGCTCGGTAGCATGCTGCTGGCCGTGACCATGCTGCTGCTTGCAGGTGCCATGCTGCTGAGTGCGCCTGCGATGCTGCTGCTAGTGGTTGCCGTGTGGTCACGTTCCTGCTGCTGCTGCTGCTGCTGCTGCTGTTGCTGTTGCAATTGTTGCTTCTCCTCTCTCAGCTGCTCCTGTGGTCCCTTCAGCTCAACTTCAGACTCCTCCTGGCCTCTCCCGTCACTAGCACGCTTCACATTCTCAGCACCAGTAACATCACCATCACCACCACCAGCACCGGCAGCACCCACAACGTCAATGTCAGAAGCTAACAAACGCCTCCTGCCACCGAAACCACCGCCAGCAGCAGCAGCAGCAGCAGCCAAGGGAGAATCCACTTCCCCACCACAACTCCCACCACCTTTCCTCCCCTGTGTCGACCCCAGCAGGCTGCCCCCGCGCTCCAGGCTGACCTGCTGCCGGAGCCTGCGCCGCGGAGACAGAAACGTGCTCATGCGCGGCGTCCACTGGTTCGCACTCGGGGCCGTGCGCTGCCGCTGCAGCTGCCGCTGCGGGAACTGAAACCCTCCCACCGCCCCCCCAGCCCCAGCAACCCCAGCAACACCAGCACCGGCACCAGGCGAAGCAGCGGCATCAAACCCTGCAGCAGCTCCTGTGGCGCCTGCTTCTGCGCCCTTGGCTGCACGCGATGTTTCAACAAGGCCTAAAAGCACTCGGATGGGCGTGGGGCGGTGAGACGGGCCGAACTGAAGGTGCGGCTGCTGCTGCTGCTGCTGCTGCTGCTGATCCAGACCTCCACTACCCAGTACCGATGCACCCAAGGCTCCCATCCCAGAAAATGCAGCTGCTGCAGCAGATATTTCCCCTGATGTGAGCGAGGATGGAGCGGCAGGGGAGGCTATACCTGGGGAAGGCTGATCCCCTGAGTAGAGATACTCCAAGTAGGGGTCTTTCAGAGAAGAGGCGGGGTTGGAGGATTTGGAGCTGATGCTGACAGGGAGAGAGGACGACCTACCAAGACCCTGTAACGGGGATGTGGAGCCCTCTATAGGAGGTATCGTTAAAGCAGAAACAAGAGGTCCGGCCAAAGCCGTAGGCTCGGAAGCAGCCGCAGCCGCAGGCTCGGAGGAAAGAGACCCCCCAGCAGATTCGGTGGATGGTTGGGATGCAGCAGGGACGGTGGATGCAGAAGGGGGTTCTTGTAATGAGGAGGAAGAGGTGGAAGAGGACGCGGAGGAGCAAGGGGAGGGGGATGCGGAGGAGGAGGAGAGGGAGGAGGAGGTGCGTGGGAGTGGGGAGTTGGGCGAGGTGGTGTCTAGCAGGCCTGTGGATGGCTGCTTCTCAAGGGGCGGCAAGGACGGCCGCTGTTGACTGCGTTGACCAGGTTGACCTGACGCCTCAGGTACCTCGCCTCCCGTGCTTGCTGATGCTGCTGCTGAAACGGAGTCACTAGCAGAGGAAGAGGGGGAGGAGGAGGAGGTAGAGTAAGGAGCGTCAATGCACCCAGAAGAGAGTGCCAGGCGTTGCAAGGGCAGCAGGAGCGCGGATGGGCTGATAGCCACAGACGCCCCAGGCAGGGCGTCTGCTGACCCAGACACTTGCGAGAGGGAGGAGGGGGAGGGGGACGAGGAGGAGCCCAAGGAGGAAGCAGATGCGAGAACGGATGCAGCAGACGGGGTGGAGCTGCGCGCAAGGGAGGAGACGGAGGAGGTGGCGGAGCGAGGGGTGGGAGGGCGGGGAGAGGAAAGAAGTGGAGATGCTGGTCTGGTGGGGGAGGTGGGTGCAGCGGAGGAGAGAGGGGGCGCAGCAGTACCGAGGGGAGAGAGAGCAATGGCCGCAGGGGAGGCATGTGCGCGACGGGAGAGGATCGATTGGCGAGCGTGCGTGGAGAGTGGGGAGTGGGGCGAGTGAGGGGGAGGAGAGTGCGGAGAGTGCTGAGGTGAGTGTGGAGACTTGGGAGAGAGAGAGGAGGTGAGGGAGGCAGAGGGGTCTTTGGCCAGGGAGGCAAGGAGGGGCAGGGAAGGTTGGAGTGGGCTCAGTGTGTCTGGAGCCACCTCAAACGCCTCTTCTTCACCCTCAGCTCCTGGGCTGCTTATGCTGCTGCTGCGACCACTAGCATTGCTGCCGCCGCTGCTACTTTCGAGTGCAGCAGATGCGTCAGTCGCCCCCACAGCATGAAGGGAAGCGACACTCTGTCTCTCCAACATCTTGCCTCCCAAATCCTCCGCATTTGCTTCGTCTCCCTGCCTCTGCTCACTCCCTTCCAGTCCTCCACGACCCCCCACTCCTCTACTACTCTCCAGGTGTCCGTTAACCTCCCTCTCCTCTCCCTGCCTCACCCGAGCCTCGTCCTGAGGCTTGGCAGAAGAGAGAGGTTCGGATGGTGAGGTGAAAACCGAAGCAGAGGAGGAGGACGGGGAGAGGGGCAGTGGCGGCAGGCGAGGAGAATGGGGCGAGCCTGGTCTTGGTATGGATGACTGGGGGAAGGAAGGGCAGGGGTGAGAGGAGAGAAATAATGGAGGGGAGGAAGGGAGGGAAGGGGGGAGAGGAGAAGGGAAAGGGGAGAGGAGGGGGTGCAAGGGGAATCAAAAGAGAGTGTGGGAAGTGAGGGTATGGGCGGGAAAGGAGGAATGCAAACGGGCAAGCGGACTCATAAAACTGGATTCTGAGAAGTCATGTGGAGTTATTCAAAAGAGATAAAGAGAGAAGGGGAAGAGCAGGGGTGGGGGGGGAAGGGGAGGATGGGTAGGGACGGAGAGCGGAGGGGCGGATAAAAGGGCATGAGGAGAGGAAGACGAATAAAATGCAGCAAGGAGGCGCAGCAGAGGAGGAGGCGGAGGTGGAGGGACGGAGAACAGAGGGGCGGACGCGGATAAAGGGGCATGAGGAGAGGAAGAAGAAGAACGAAATGCAGCAAGGAGCAAAAGGGCAAAGCAATGAGGCAAAGCAATGAGGCAAAGCAATGAGGCAAAGCAGCAGAGGAAGGGAGGAGGGAGACTGACCCCGAAAAGGTAGGAGTGGATGGAGAGAAGGATGATGGAGTCAAGAGACACGTTGCGGTGCAGGGAGGAGGAAGGCACAGCAGAGGCGGAGGGAACAGGGGAGGAGGAGGAGGAGGTGGGTGAGGGGAGCACAAGTGACGGTGGGGTGCGGGAGGAGGCAGGGAGGTGCAGGGATTCAATGGCCTGTGGTGGGGATATGCTAACCGACGGGCTCTGGCCGTCAGCTTGGTCAATTGCCTCGCTGCTGGTACAAGTGGTGGTGGTGGTGGGAGTGGAGTGAGAGGAGGAGGCGGAGGAACTTAAGGGAGTGGAAGAGAAGCCGGGGGAGCGGCGGCGGGAGTTGGGTCGGATGGGGCTGCGGGGAGGGGAGCCGCGGAGGGGCGAGTGGATGCGCTTGCGGAAGTCACGCTCGTGCATCTGATGGGAAAGACGCGGGAACACGCACGGGCGCAAGGGAGGGCGGGGAGGGCGGGGAGGGGGGGGAAGGGGGGAAGGGGAAGGAGGGAGGGGAGGAAGAGACAGAGAGGTATGGACCAGGGGAGATGGTCAAGGGTGATTGGGGAGAGGGAGGGCAGCAGAAACGGTTGCGAAAAGCTTGTGGTTACACGATTGCAAGAAAGAAATAAAGAGCGGCATGGGCAGGGGCAGGGGCAGGGGCAGGGGCAGGGCGGGGGCGTGGGAGTGTGCGGGGAGGCCAAGCGCCTGGGATCTCACCAGGCGTATGACAGGCGGCGCTGCCGACCCCGATGGTGGCTCTGACGCCGCTTGAGACAGCGCAATGGACGTGGGCGAGGAGGAGGGGGGTGAGATAGGCGGGGAGGCGGGTGGGGAGGCGGGTGGGGAGGTGGGTGGGGAGGAAGAGGAGGAGGTGAAGGCAGAGGTGCACGACCCATCCATGGACAGCCGCATGCCCCGTCGCTCCAGACCTGCCACGCCCATCCCCACCCAGTCCTCCAGCGCACTCAGCCCATCCCCATCCCCATCCCCTTCGTCTGCTGCTTCTTCTTCCCCCGCCTCTTCTTCCGCTTCCCCTTCTTCCCGCTCCCCTTTCCCTTCGCCTCCTTCCTCCCCTGCCGCAGAATCTCCCGACAAAGACCCTGCCGAGCTTGACACTTTGCTTCGGCGGCTTTCCCCAAGCCCCTCGTCTTCCTCATCCCCCCAAACCAGCCCCGCCTCCAGCCCACCCAGCAACGCCATAGACCCTCCACCACCTCCTCCTCCTCCACTCCCTCTTCCTCCTTTCCCCCCTCCTTTCCCTCCTCCCTCACCCCCCCTCTCTAGGTCCGACCCCTTCTCTCCCTCACTCTCTCCCTCCAGCCCACTGCCCTCCTCACTCTCCTCCCCTCTCCTCCCCCTCGCCCTCTTCTCACCCTCCTCCTCCGACCCACTCCTACTCCCCCAACTGCTTCTATCCTCCTCCACATCTTCCTCAGTCAGCCGTCGTATATACTCGTCCTCCTCCCAGCTCCTCCTATCCTCCCAGCTGCGCCTGTCGTCCCAGCTTCGCCTCTCGTCCCACTCATCCCCATACTCCCTCTCGTCCCTCTCAGGATCCCAGCTCCTCTCACTCCTCTCATCGTCCTCCTCCTCTCCCTCCGACTCCCTGCGCTCCCCCCCTCGCCTCCCCTCCCCTCCTCTCCTGCCCTCCCAACTCCTCCTATCCTCCTCCTCTTCCTCCTCCTCATCGCTCCCCCTCCTTTGCACACGATACTGCCTTTCCTCGTCGTCTTTCCACCTGCTGCGAGCCTCCCCCTCAGGTGTCGATTCAGGCGTGAGCTGGGGTGTTAGATCCCCCCCTTCGGATTCCCCTCGCTCCCCTCTCAGACTATCATCGCCACCACGGTGAAACAGTCCCTGCTCCCCCATATCCGTATCAGAAACCATTTCAGGTGTCAACTCTCCTCTCCTAGGCGTTGTTTCAGCATCCGATGTCATCTCCGGCGTTACATCTCCCATCATCCTTGGTGTCAACTCCGCATCGGACGCCACCTCTGGCGTCAACTCGCCGTACGACGACGCTCCTGTCGGTGTCAACTCAGCATCGGATGTCATCTCCGGTGTCAACTCGCCCAACCTCGGTGTCAACTCGGACTCTGAAACGAACTCAGGTGTCAACTCTCCCCGATGTAGCATCATCCTCGGAGTCTTCTCAAAATCTGACACCGACTCAGGTGTCACCTCTCCAGTTCTCAGTTTCAACTCCACGTCAGACGCCAAGTCAGATGTCACATCAGGAGCCACGTGTCCCTCTCGCCGCAACAGCTTCGGAGTTGACTCAGCGTCCGAGCCCGAACCCGAGCCCGCCTCTCCCTCGGGATTGGCACTCAGAATCAGATCAAGGTCAGCAGCACTCATTGCACTGGCGCGTGGCACTGGAGCAGCAGGCGTCGTCACAGCTACAATCCCCCCAGCAGGCAGAGCACTCTCCCAGGAGCCACTGCCAAAGGCACCACCACTGTGGACAGCAATGCCGCCATTGCCACCCATGCCTCCGGTGTCAGCGTCGCCTCGCTCTTCCATAGCAGCAACCTCACCTGCGCGGTCACCCTTGCTGTCCCACTCGCCTTCACCCTCGCCGTCAACTCTCCCCTCCACTGCTGTTCTTTCCGATGCTAAGGGCCCTTCCACTGCTGCTGCTGCTGCTGCTGCTGTTGCTTGGAGGGCACCACTACCTTTCTTCTCCGCCAAGCTCTCCTCCTCTTCCACACTCAACCCCTTCTCTCTCACTGCATCCTGCCCTCGCACCCCCCCTTCCACCATCCCACGCTCACCACCCACCTCCACCCCCTCGCTTCCCTCCCTCTCTCCTCCCCTCTCTTCCTCCTCCCACCTTGCACCATTTCCCCCCCCCTCCCGATCCCCATCCTCCGACCCATATTCCCCACAGTAGTTCCTCTCCCCATCGCTGAAGCTCCCTGAACCAGACGCCGTTCGCGACAGAGATCCCGAACCAGAAACCCCCGACCCCGAGCCGGACTCCGAACCAGACCGCGAACCCAAGTCCGAGCCGGCTTCCGAACCGGACTCGGAGCGTTCGAGCTCGGATTCGGAGACGGGCGGCGAGCGCAGCTCAAAGAGGTCGAGGTCGGGCCCGTAGGCGGACAGCACTCGCGCCACTCGGCCTCCCCATCCGCCCACTGCTCCCGCACTCGCACTTTCAACACCTGCATCTGCATCCACACCAGCACCCACGGCATCATCATTCTCATTATCATTATCAGTATCGTTGTCGTCCTCCTCCTTCTGGCCTTGACTGGCCGCTCCAGTGGGTTCAGGTGTGAAGCTAAGCTCTGTTATTAACACCTGCTGTGTTGGTAACACCTGCCCTTCTTGCAGCAGCCCACCCTCTCCGCCCTCGCTCACACTCGTCAGCAATCCTGCCCCTTCCACACTCTCCTCCCCTTTATCGCTTCTCTCCTTTTCCTCCGCTCCTCCAGCCACCTCCTCTCCTAGATCGCCTACAACCACCATGCACCCACCCACACTTGGCGATGCCTCCCTCTCACCGCCCACACCTCTCTCCCGCCCCTCACTCTCGCTTCCACTCTCACTCGCGTTGTCACTCTCCCCTTCATTCCCCCTCTCACTCCCCCTCTCACTCCCCCTCTCACTCCCCTCATATTCCTCGCCTGTCTCACTCGCGCCGTCACTGCTCTCCCCCCCGGCAATAGAAATCACCTCCACAACCGAGCCCTCCTTCTCCAGACTCCTCTCCTTATCCTCCTCACCCTCCACCTCCTCCTCTTCCCCTTTCCCCCTTTCACTGCCACACTCGCTCCCCTTCTCACTCTCCCTCTCACTCTCCCTCTCACCCTCGATCCCACTGTCGCTGCCGCTCCGCCCATGCGCACGCAAACCGTCACCCACACACAACAAGCCAATCCCCTCCACACCCTCGCCCACTCTCCCCGCCTCCTCCGCCTCCTCTTCTTCTCCCCTCTCTCTCCCCTCTCCTCCCTCTCCACTCGGCTCGCCCCTGTCTGCCTTCCCCTCCCCCGCAGCCACCAGAGCAGCCGGCACAGGCGAGTCCTCCAGAGCAGCAGCAAACCCCCTTTCAAGAAACGACCCTCTTGACTCTGCGAATCTTCTTTCACCTTCCCCACTCACAGCCTCACCCCCAGCCAACCCACCACCCGCATCACCCTCCCCACCACCCACATCACTCGCGGTCTCACTCTCCCCATCACTCACCCTCTCCCTTCCCTCCGCACACTCCTCGCTCCCGACTGCACTCCTCTCACTCCCATTCTCACTCCCCTTCTCACTCCCCTTCTCACTCCGCCCCTCACTCTCCCCATCGCTCCCCTCCTCGCTCTCCTCCCCACTGCTTCCCTCCACATGCACCACCACCGGGCTTACTATCGTTGCTTCCGCCTGCTGCGCCTCCTCCCCCCCTCCCCCCCACTCGCTCTCCTTCCTAAACTCCCTCTTGAGCTTCTTCAGCATCGCCTGAATCTCAACCGTCAGCTTCTCACTCTCCTCCTCACTTCCCTCCTCACTTCCCTCCTCACTCCCCTCGTCGCTTTCCCCCTCACTCCTCCCCTCGCTTTCCTTCTCGCTCTCGTCATCCTCCGGCTTCTCAATCCTCTCACCGTGGTGGCCCATCCCTTCCTCCATCTCCGCGCTCTCCTCTCCGTCGCTCTCCACGCCACCACCAGCAGCAGCAGCAGCATCAGCATCAGCAGCAGCAGCATCATCATCACCATCACCAACATCGCCGCTGCGCTTCTCACTCGTTCCTGCCGCCTCGTCACTCGCCACATTGCCGCATGGCTCAGTAACCGCCACCACCGCAGTACTCTCCATCCTCTCTCCTGCATCCTCCGCATCATCAACCATCCCCACCGATATCATCTTCTCCTTCTCCTCCTCTTCCTCCTCTTCCTCCTCCCTTTGCTCCGCCTCCTCTTCGCCTCCCCTTGCGAGGTCTTCACCATCCCCCCCCTCCCCCTCACTATCCTCGCTCTCCCTCTCCGCTTCACTCCCCTCGCTCGCACTCTCCTCCACCTCCTTCTCCTCCTCCTCTTCCCAGATCCTTTCCAGGGTTCCCACGCGCCTATGCCCTGCAGAGCACCATCCGTGCCACGTTTCCGGTCCTCCCTCCTCCTCCTCCTCCTCCTCCTGCTGCTGCTGCGGCGGCTGCTGCTGCTGCTGCTCTCTAGGCTCATTCGTGCCAGACTCTAATCCGTGCCGCCCCATGGCACCTGCTCCCTCCCTCCCGCCCGCAACGACCCTCTCTTCCTCCCTATCACCATCGCCTCTCCCCACCCACCTCTCACCCCCCTCATACTCCCCTCCCCCACCCAAACTCTCCCCCTCCTCTGACACACTCTCCCTCTCCGTACCACTCTCACCATCCTCCACACTCTCTCTCTCCCCCACACTGCCCCGCCCACTCTCCCCTTCCTCATCACTCTCCCCCCCTCTCCCCCCATCACTCCCACTCTCACTACCCCTATAACTCACACTACCCCAACTCCTATCCTCCTCCGACTCTCCCACCGAACCACCCTCCGACACGGGAGGCGACATCAGGTCGAATAGCTCCGGCTCGCCGAACCTCGTCGCTAGGTTCGTCGCCCACTGGTTCCGAGCCACGCCGTCAGCGTGGCCCAACAGCATCGGCGGAGGAACCGACCCAGAAGCCGCGCCACTGGCAGCGCCAGCGGTAGCACCACCACCACCGGCACCAGCGGCGGCGGCCTCTATAGCAGCGGAAAGGGGCGAAAGCTGGCCGGGATGGGGGGAGAGCGAAGTCGCGGGGCTAGCGCCAGCATCGTCTCCGCCTCCGCCCGTCCGTCTCCGCAGCAGCTCCTGCAACTCCTCCAGCGCGTTCGCCTCGCTCGCCTCGCTGTCCCCCGCGGTCGACGCCGCGTCTGCCGAGGGAAGCGCGTCGTCGTCATCGTCCTCCTCCTCGTCGGCGACGTCGTCGTCGTCGTCGCCCTGGCTGTCGCCCTGGTCGTCGTCGTGGTCGCCCTGGTTGTCGCCGTGGTGGTCGTCGTCGTCGTGCGCGACTGGAGTGACAGCCTCATCGTCCGACTCGAAACCCCGTTCCGTCCCGCCGTTGCCGCCGTCACCGTCAACGCTGCCGTCACCGTCACCGTCACCGCGTTCGCCGTTTAGATGGCCGAGCCCGTTTCGTCGCTGCTGCTCCAAGGCAGGAGTAAGATGAGCGCTACCTTCGTCGCTGTCGCCATCGTCGTCGCCGCCGTGGTCGTCGTCGCCTGTTGATTCGCCCTCGTCGTCGTCCCGGAGCGTCTTCACTACTTCCTCTCGGCCCTCCTCCGCCTCCTCCTCTTCGTCTTCGTCGTCGACTTTCGCACGGCTTTCGCTTTCCCCGTCGCTCGAGTGTCGCTCGTCGTCATTACTTCCTTTTTCTGAGTGTATCTCCTCCCTCTCTCCGTCAATCTCTCCGTCACCCTCTCCCTCCCCTACTCCGCTCCCCTTCCTCCCACATCCTTCACGCACATCCTCACCGTTAATCCCCTCCTCCTCGCCACTCTCCTCGTATCCTCGCGGTTCAGGCTGAGACAAACCAGCGCTGCCAACCTGCTCACTCGCTCGCTTCGCTTCCTTCTCCGCCGACTTTCCCCCTTCCCTCGCTTCTCTCTCCTCTTCCCTTTCCACATCCTCACCCACTTCCTCCGAAATCTGCTCCTGCTCCCCCTCCTCCCTCTCCTCCCTCCCATCCTCCCCCTCCTCGTCGCCTCCTCGTCTCACTTCCCTAGGTTGCTCGTCTTCGTTTCTCGCAACGTCATGCCGTGCTCTGGACATCACCTCCCCCTCGCGTTGCGCATCCCTCGCTCTCTCCCCCCCCCCGCCTTCAGCATCCGCCACGCCCATCGCGTCGCCCTCTAGGTGACCGTTCTGCAAGCCGTGCTGGCTGCTACCGCTACTCCCGCTGCTGCTGCTGCTTCCGCTGCTGCTGCTACTGCTGCTGCTGCTGCTGGCCCCGCTCTCTTCCTTGCTCGACTCGAGGCTAATTCCGAACCTTTCGCTACCGCTTACGGCTTCGAAACTGCCGCTGCCGTTGTCGTCGCCGTCGCCGTCAGCTAAAACGGTAACGAGATCCGCTGCGGCGCCATTAACGGCAGCTTCCCGTCTCATGACGATTTCCGTCACCGCAAGAATGCCTTTCCCGTCTGAAAAAGGCGGGGACGGACTCTTTACGCTTGGAGAAACTAGCACCGTTCCGTCAGCCCCGCATTCCGCTTGTATATCTCGTGAAACGTCGCTGCCCGTGTAAAAACCCATATTGTTAGTAATCAGTGGTTAAGTAAGTTTCACTCCACACCTATGTCGCAAACATGACAGGCGCCATGTCCGTCGCAACAGTACGCACAAACCGGGCCCTTCCAGCTAAATTGATACTGCAAAGGTCGCTATCGCAAAGTAGATAGCAACTCCCGGCGATATAAATTACCCCTGGATTCTGTCGCTAATTCACTAACGAACCCTAGTATCTTAGCATTATTGTCTGCCACGCCTCTGCACGGAAGTTATTTTTGACGCTATGTCAACGCTTTCCACCCAGCTCGACTCTGCTTCTATGCTCCTGCTCTATCCATTCACTTGTCCACCTTCCAACCCTCCAGATAGTTCTTCAAGACGAGCTCAGGCCAGCTAATTTCTGGGCAGACAGAAGACTTTTCTTGCCCACCTCCACCTCACCCAATCAACTACACGTGTAACAACCGTTGATACGCAAACCAAGGGGTCCTTCTGCTCCCCCTCAACGCTCTCCCGGGCAGCCCGCAGCAGTAAAAAACAAGCCGTTGCTGCTGGAAACTGGGGTACGTGGGGGTTGGGCAGGTAGGCTTTGCTGCGCTGCCCCCGCAGACACATGAGCGGCTCCGCCTCTTGGATAGTTTGTTGGCTGCGCAGAGGCGAGCTTTCCCGTCCCCCGAGGACCCCCCCCCCAACCCTAGCTGCCTCTTGCTGTCCCCTCTCCTCATCATTGCAGCAGGAGATCATTTCCCCCACGCGATGGGGGGGCGGAACAGGGTCCCTCAAATGACAGGTCGGAGACCACCACGCTGGACTGGTGGGAACTTTTCGAGGAGATGATCTCGTGGTTACTGTAGTGGGGAACACTTTTTTTTGCCAAGCAGGAGGAAAGAAGCACTCACCTGTTGGTGGTGCTCCAAAAAATGTCTCGGGCAATGTACAGTGCAAGTGTTATGCCACGACCAACCACGATCTGCGCATCCACGTAAGATCAGGCCGCGACAGTTGCTGTGAAGTTTGCCTAATCACGCGATCGTGCGACGATTTTCCAGCTTGTGTGCGTCCTCGCGCAAAGTGGTTACAGTATCGCATGAAGCAATGCTCCTTCGACGCACGACGACGGGCGAACGAAGAGAATTATCTGGCCGACGCATGGCGACTTTCATCATCCTCCCTGCCTATCTCCATCGACCATTCTCCCTGCCTTTCTTGTCGTGGAGACCTCTGGTGCCCCTGATCCAACACGGAGCCGCGTGTTGTTGACACGATGAACAGAAACCCACGTAAGCCCCCTAATTAAACCATCGCCCAGCAAGCAACGTTCACTCATCATACGGGCAGCTTGCTGACCGGGATGCATAACATACCCAGAATGGCTCCACCTGATGGAACAGACCACCAGTTCACACAAGGTTGAAAGCACGAGGAACGAGACAGGAGGGACTAGGGGAAACTGAAATTCACAAAAAAAACACCAAGCTATACTGAAGAGTCTTAATTGTCCGATATCCCATACAAAGCAGCTATTTATAGTGTACCATCTTGATGGGGGTTCTTCAAGGTTCTCTTTTATACATATTGTTGGAAATATCTCAAGGACTTAAGCGTTTCTGAAGTGTAACACTGTACTCGAGGAAGATTACAGGGGAGCACGCGAGTCAACGGAGGTTACACGAGGGGGCGGACAAAGAATGCGAAAGGACTCGAAAGGTCGCAACTGGAGGTTGCGACTGACCGTTACAACATCACGGATGGTAACCGAAGCGGCAATCGAGTCGCTGTGCGACTCGATAAACCGTTCCTGTAACTGTATTCTACAACTGCTTTCTTATCTTCTATATATTGCTGTATGCTTGTTTCTTTAATCAATCACTTGTTCTCACATACTAGTACAAGGGTTCAACCGTCTCAACTTCCGCTGCACTACTCCAAGTCTCAAGTCTCTACAAGCTGGGACTTAGTCTCTGCAAAAGATCCTAAGGGCCTTTTTCAGCCCAACATGGTATGAGAGCTGGTCAGAGACCAAACTCCCAGCAACTACGTCCTATCAACAACCTGCAACTCAACTCAATTCAACGACTTCATTGATTACAAGACATGGACAACAAGGGCAAGAAAGTCTCTACGGGCTCACCCAGCGCCCAAGAAACTCAACACGGCAACTCTGGTCTGCACACCTCAGGACTGCAGACAGAGACCGGGACTGCTCAAGAAACAACGGGAAGAGTACCAGAGATGGTGACCCCGTCTCCCTCTTCAAGTGTGGACCCGAATCTCATGGAGAGATTCTTCAGCTTCATGTCACACTTCGATCAGCAGCAGCAGACAAGGACACCTGCGCACTCAACACAGAGCAATGGAGGGAATATGGGATTAGCGCCGATGAGCCTCGACAACTCATCCTTCGGGCGACACAACCAAGCGCCTACCTTTGCGCCTTATCATTCTTCGCCGGGGACGTTCGAATTCATGCCGCCCCGTGCCCAGCCAACAGCAGCTGCATCACAACAAACACCGAATGAAATCTTAAGTTTACAGGCGCAGTTCTCACACGTGATCAAACTTCAGACATCCTCACCGTTCAACGGACACGACTTCTTTACCTGGAGCTTCGAGTTCGAGCTGCTGATGGAGGCCGCGCATCTTCTGGGATACTTCAACGGGTCCCTGCCATTCCCAAGCAACGGCACTGGGAAGGAACAAGAGATCTTCACGTATCAGTCGCTGCTGGCGTACACGGTACTCCTGAGAAACCTGTCACCACAAGAGCAGCAGAGCATCAGAACGTATCGGAGTTATGGAAACTCCGCGGAGCTCGCATGGCACCACCTCAAATGCCTTTACCAAGCAAACGACAGCGTGACACAAAGCAGACTCATGCAACAGCTGACAACAATACAGATGAAGACCGGGGAAAAGGCGATGCAGTATATGAGTCGCTGCCAGACCCTCCGCGACCGCCTGCTTCGGTGCGGAGGAACGATCACTGAAGAAAGCTTCGTAACACTTGTCCTCGCCGGGCTCGGGCCAGAATGGAGAACCACACGATCACTTCTTCGAGCCCACGGAAGAATTTCGGAGATGCACCTCTGCGCCGAGCTTCACGCTGAACAACAGGAGATGGATCTGTTCGAGGAAAGACAACCAAGGAAGCAACAGCAGTTAGTCTTCTACACTCAAAGAAGAAATGACAACAACTACAAACGACGCAGCAAGCAAGATCAACGCGACAACCGAGGACTCACCATCGTGCCGCCGTTCTGCCACAACTGTCAGACTTCCGGGCACTCCAAGGTCAACTGCAACCGCCCTCGCGTTTACCGTGCAGCAGACCCACAAGTCGCTTCCACTCAAGCAAGTCCTCCAAGGCGCTCTTCAACATCTGCACAACAAACACCCAACATCATCAACTGCATGGTACACATCGACAACTGCGCACCCGCTTCACCACCCACTTACGCACCAGACGAAGAGGAATTCCCGCCGCCGCGCTCGCAAGGACTTCAGGTCAACCCGACATACGCTGCAGTCGCTAACGCCGAACCCACCGGGCGGAACACCTGGTTCTTGGACAGTTGCTGCGGTCAGCACATGTGCTCCTCCGGACGCTTCGTACAACACGAGCGACGCCTCAACCGCGACGTCGTCATCACCGTCGCCAACAACGAAAACCTGAAAACAAACAGACAAGGCGTGGTTCAGTTACAATCAATGGAGACAAACGTTATTCTTCAGCTCAACAAAGTCCTCATCGTCGACAATCTGGGATACAACCTACTAAGCGTAAGCCAACTAATGGCTAAGGGGATTCACCTGGAGTGCGACTCCTTCTCCAACGAGTTCCGACTTTACCACGGGAAGGGCGGCCTCTTCATCGGTCGTGCCCTCCTGAAGTCCGGTGTCTTCGTGTTGGACTTCGTCCCCGACCGCGGAACTGCCGACAGCGATGGCATCGTATCGTTCGCCGCCTGGACTCACCCGCCGGATCTTGATCCCGACTTCGACAGTGACGGCTTCTGGCACTCCAACACCATACCTGCAGCAGAGAGAACACGAGCATTAGCAGTTATCAGACAAGAAAGACAAGTACCCGCAAGTGTCCCAACAAAACCATCACCTGCAGTATCGGCAGCAGGACCCAGCCGAGTACCACCACCAGCGACACGAGGACAGCCAACGGAAGCAGACCAACTTATGCCCGCCACACGAGAAGCTTGTCGAAGTCCCGCCTCGGTCGTCGCGTTCTTCTCCAACGCCGACATCTACCACCGCTCGCCCGGTCACCGTGCTCCCGACGACATCTGGCACCAACGCCTCGGACACCCTGCAAACAGCACAATACTTCAAACAATCCAAGCAGAGGTGTTAGAACGTAACGCCCTTCTAACGACGAGCGGCCAAGAACTTCGCCGACCAAGAGCACGATGCTTCACGTGCCCCGAAGCAGATCTTCCTCATCAACCCTTCCCATCCCATCATAATCCAAGCGCGCCTGCATATGCAACGATGGAAAAAGTCTACAGCGACATCTTGAACATGCCTCGAGACGACACGGAAGCCGACTTCAACTACGTCATCACCTTCGTCGATGCAGCAACAAGATACACTTGGCATTACAACCTCAAGACGCGCGATCAAGCCTTCGACGCCTTCACAACATGGCTCCCCATCGCCGAGCGGGAATCAGGAACCAAGCTCAAAAGCTTCCAGTCAGACGGTGCCCTAGAATACCAGTCACAACGCTTCAGGACCTATCTGGCGGAAAGAGGAATCAAGCGCCTGGTGTCCCTACCATACGCTCACCAGCAGCAGGGGGTCGCCGAACGCATGAACCGGACCTTGCAGACGACGATGCGAAAGCTGCTCCTGGGGATGAGACTGCCCAATACACTGTGGCCAGACGCGATGACACATGCAGTCCACCTGCACAACCTGTTGTCCTCGTCATCGCTCCCCAACAACGCATCACCGCACCTGCTGTGGACGGGAAAAAGGGGCAGCACAAAATTACTTCGAGTTTTCGGCTGCATGGTACAATACAGACCCCACACAGCTCGAGCAGGACGCTTCACTCAACGAGCTCGGTGGGGACTACACCTCGGCATCGCCAAACATTTTCACGCGTGGAAGATTCTCGACATACACGACAAAAATACGGTGGCATCACGTGATGTTATCTTCTACGAGCGACTGACGCTGCAGCATTACCTGGACAACATTGCCAACTCAGACGACCCCACCGACGGCTTCGCGGGCCTTCGCTCCTTCGCTGACCATGCTGCCGAAGCTGACGCAGCAGAAGAAGA